AGAAGATAGAAAAGTTAGACATCCTGGCATCAGCACAAAACGGGAGGGGAAATAGGTTGTGCACTGTTGATTGTTCATCAAATGAGTCCTGTGATTGAGTGGCCGATGTAATGTTTGGAGGAGCCAATTTTTCCTTTTACAAACCTGTACTTAAAAGAGCTCAAAAATAGATTTTTTAATCCAAATCTGTCCGGATGCCTTTTGGGGCCTGTATGTATATCCACACAAGACAAGGTGAAATGGGCGGTACAGTGTTGATGTTTCATCATATGAATCCAAAGTGGGAGACTGTTAGGGCAACAAAACCCTGATAAAACCATTGAGATACAGAAGATAGAAAAGTTCCATATAGTGGCACCAACACAAAATAACTGGGTAATTAGGTGGTACATGGTGGTACAGTGTTGTTTTCCTCTAAAGAATCTGAACAGGGAGAATGTTAGGAGAACAAAAATCTTGCTTACACCATGGAGATATAGAAGATAGAAAAGTTAGACATCCTGGCATCAGCACAAAATGGGAGGGGAAATAGGTTGTGCATTGTTGATTGTTCATCAAATGAGTCCTGTGATTGAGTGGCCCGTGTAATGTTTGGAGGAGTCAATTTTTCCTTTTACAAACCTGTACTTAAAAGAGCTCAAAAATAGATTGTTTAATCCAAATCTGTCCAGATGCCTTTTGGGGCCTGTATGTATATCCACACAAGGAAAGGTGAAATGGGCGGTACAGTGTTGATTTTGCACCATATGAATCTAAAGTGGGAGACTGGCAGGACAATAAAATCCTGATAAAACCATTGAGATACAGAAGATAGAAAAGTTCCATATAGTGGCACCAACACAAAACAACAGGGTAATTAGGCGTAAACACAAGGGAAAATCGGTGGTACAAGGTAAATATCGTTGTCCAGCCCTCCCGTTTCCAGGGGTTTAGTATTCGTTATGTATTCGGAGGCTGTGATCATCCAAAAAAAAACAAAAAATGTCCATATTCAGCCCTCCCGTTTCCAGGGGTTTAGTATTCGTTATGTATTCGGGGGCTGTGATCATCCAAAAAAAAACACAAAACATGTCCATATTCAGCCCTCCCGTTTCCAGGGGTTTAGTATTCGTTATGTATTCGGGGGATGGTTTTTTTAAGTGCGTTCGAAGATGATTGAAGGAAATGTTCATTTTTCCCCAGTTTTCTTCATTTTTGCTGGCCCTCCCGTTTCCAGGATCTGAGTTCCTGGAAAAACTTTTCTATCTTTTCCGGGGCTACTATATACGTATATATATATATATGTAAACATGGAACATCCTGATTTATAATTTTAAAATATGTATAGTTATAATGGAACATACTAAAGCCAAGTTGATTTAACGGAAACCTCCATACCAGTAGAAACTGCAGCAAAAATGAACGATTTCCAGTGACTCTTCAACATTTTATGGCATTGAGATACACTTTTTCTTGGGAAAAAATGAGGTTTGAAAACTTTTTTTTCTTTTTTTTGAATAGCCTGGTTTCTTCTTGAAACCCAATATATGAGCACTGCACAGTGGATCCCTATTCGTTGATGATTGAATGGGGGTTGTTCTTGCAATCTATGAAATGAAATTGCCATTATCAACAAACCAGTAGGTTTGAGATGACAGAAGGTTTGGGTACCCTAAAGTTTGGATAACCAAATTTCTCTCGCAAAGATTCCTGACAGTGACATATTCACATTCGCCCAGGTACGTGCGGCGGAAAGTGGTTGACCAGCAGGAGCGACCTGCCCCATTTTTGCCCGTTGTCTTGAAATTGGATACGCCAAGATTCAATGGCCATCATTTTTCTTCTTCCAATTGTTCCAATTGTCATTTGGGGATATACCACATTTTCAGACACAGTTGTTTTGTGTTTCCCTGACACATTTCCCGGCGCCACACAGGAGAAATATCGCAGGCAGCAGTCGCGGGGTGTGCATCAGCCCGAAGCTCAATTGTTTTAGCAGATCGAGGCCACATCCAGCTCTCCAGTCTTTCAGATGACTGGTTCGGAGACAGATACTCTCTGGTAAACGAACATAACTATGGGAAAATCACCAATTGTAATGGGTAAATCCACTATAATTGGCAATTTTCAATAGCTATGTTTGTTTACCAGAGGGTAATAGTTTGTTATAGTCCAAGATGCAGCTGTTAAATTGGGAATGTCATGTGTAGAGGTCAGGCTGTGCGGTTGTTTCGTCAATTGAAGGGATAGGGTATCTACTACGCACTGGCCTAACGGAGCTCAAGTGATAACAGTTGCTTTATCTCAGCATCACATGCCTTTCAGACACAACGCATTGAGCCTTTCACACTGGCTGCAGATTGCCTCAGGTTGCCTCCGATTGTGCAGAGAAGTAGCAGCCCTGTGCCGGACTCTTAGACGAGTGGATTCCCCAGCTTGCTTGGCCTGGCACCCTGGCACAGGTCGCTGAGAAACTCCAACCCACAGGACGCGTTGGCGTAACGGATATGCAGTTCCTGGAGACACTGAGAACGGTAGACTGTCATAACAGGATAACAGTGATGAAATGTGATGAACATCCATGAAAATTCGACGGATGATGATCCTCCCATCTTCCGTGCGGCCAAGTTGGGCCTCCCAACGGTTGTGCTCACATGATCTTGCGGCCTTGCGGTCAACGAAGCAGGAAGATACGAATTATTAGTGAAGCGGTTTGGATGGTAACAGTTTGGCATTTTTCCAGTGGAACTGGAAGAGAATCTCTGTGCGCTGGAAACAAACTGAACCATCTGAGTTTAGACATTCGCGCAACGCCGCTCCGCATCTCCAGGAAGCTCGTTTCCAGCAAGCAATGGCGCACAGTCCTCAGGGCTGAAAGGAATCTGAGGTTCTGTGTGTTCTGTCTTCCAAGCCTTCACTGGCTGCCGATGAGGTCTTTTCAAGCAGAGATGCGATACTTGCAAGAACAAGGGTTGGATGTTAGCACCTTGGCAGCGCACTTTGGGCCATTGGGCCATGATTTTTGTCTGTTCTGAACTAGCCAACTGCAACATGGCTATTGGGATTGCGACCAATGCCTGCAGATTGATGGTTGAAGGTGCAACAAAACCATCACATCTTCAGCACTTCATTTGATGGATTTAATTTCCATACCCATCACTGCCTGATGTAGACAGCTTGGATTCTAGTTCCTAGTACTTCTCGCTGTTGCAGCTGGGTACAATGCAACAGAAGTCACGTTGGCCACATTGATGCGCCGATGCAGGTAATCTCCATGCATCAGCCGCTCGAGTCTCAGATCGAAGTAGAGCTGCTGTGCAGGTTCTACCCTGATCGCACAGCCCCAGTCATGTCGCGGCCACGGTGGAAGCCTGAGGCGGAGATTGCTGCGGTGCAGGCAGAACAGGCCCAGATGGCCCAAATGGCTCAGGAGCAGCTGGCCCAAGCCCGTGCAGCACATGTGCAGCAGGGGCAGCAGGCGCAGATGGCTCAAATGGCCCAAGCCCAGATGGTGATGGAGGCGCAGATGGCAGCGCCTCAAGCGCAGACCGTGGAAGCGACTGGAGAGGCAGGGCCTTGTCAATGGCTGTGTCTATGGTTCTGGCTTCTTTTTTGTTTTCGTCGGACTTGTGAAATCATCAGGCTTCCACTCAGTCATGTTTGCCATTGCCTGTCAGGCTGAGGGAACTTGAGAGGCACGGCTGCACGGCTGTCGGGTGGGTGATGCGCCAAATCAATGCTCCATTTCGATTGGATTTCACTCCAGGCACACGGCAACCCTTCGGCAACACATTCGCACCATTTTTCTGCGAGAGCTAGGGGACATGGCGCTTGTTGCTGATCTTTGGACCATTTTGGACCTACAAGAGCAGTTACCCAAATCCTGATTGCTTGTAGTTCTTGGGGTGTAGCAAATGGTTGATTGGGGATTACTTGCTACCCATAAGGGCCATATGGGATGGCTTTCCGTTTCGCTTGATGCGGTACACGACATCCCTGCAGCCTCAGAGATCCTCAGAGTGCCCCCGAACGCAGCACCTTTCTTGAAGCATCGGCAGAGGATATCGGTTTTGGATTTTGGATGGTTTTGGATGGTTTTGGATGGTTTTGGTATGTGTTTGTGGTTCTTGTCATGTGGTTTATCAGAGTTTATCAGAGTTTATCTTATTTGTTGGCCAAAAAAGTTGGCCTGTTTCCCCAATCCACTTCCATCATGGATTCATGGATACACACGCCTCAGGTGAAGAGTCGCCTGTCTCACAACAGGTTTCACCATGTTTCACCGTGGCACGGAATCATTGGTAGTTTCACCGTGAATTCGTTGAGTTGTGGTTTGTCTCCAGTGACTTTGCGACTAACATGTGCCGCGGTTTCACCCTTTCAACACACATTTTGGGGTGTAAAGACCTGGACAAGTTCACACCTTGGTAGAGGGACAAGGCTTTCTACTCAATTCAATGCCGGTACACCTGTTGCTCCTTTCCGGATTCAAGTCAGGCCTTTCGAAAAAAGCTGTGGAAAGCGCATTCTCCGAAGCGCTATTGTTGCAGTGATCCATTCTGACTGCCAAGTGCTCACGTCCAAGTGCTGGAATCCCGTGATGTCTGGCGCCTGAGTTTCACTTTGCGGCAAAAAACGAAAGTGGACGAGCTTGATTTTGCCGATGTATCTCTAGGTATACAAGATGCTAGATATGTATAGATGCGTATAGATATGTTAGGTATGTCACCAGAGGGCCACTGTCAAGGTTTTTTCTTTTCGTTGACTTCCTTAAAACTCAATGTCAAACATTTGACTTTCAGCTTGATCCTTCAAGTTGTGACGGTACCAGTACAGATTGGATATAGACTATAGATACATTCTTACCATTCATGACCTTTTTGAACCCAATTGCTAGATTCCTGACCGACCGGAATCACAAGGCTGTCGAAACTTCACAGTTTCATCTAGCCTCAGATTTTGATTCCATCTCAGTTCTGGTTCTAAGCTGCGCCGGTATAATTTGGCTCCAGATCTACCAGGTTTTTCTGATGGTATCAACGGCTGGTATCTGATGGTTCCTGAAAAGTTCTCTAGATGCGATTCCTTGTTTGGATTCTTCTGCATGCTGCAGCGGAGCTGCCTTCCAACTGCGATGCGCCGGACTTCACTGTGATGCTGGTGAGATCCCGCGCCTACTATCGGAGTGGCTTCTTTGAACTTTCAGACTCGGAGAGAGTGGCACGAATTTTGGAAAGCCGAGAGCTCATCAAAGAGATTTGCCCAGCGGCACTGCTGCAAGCTATTTTGTTGAAACTTGAAGAGAACTTGGTGTATCAAACAGATGCTTTCCAGAGCCTGATGGCGCAATACACCTTGTACTTACATGAAGCCATTCGAAATGAGAAGATCACACCGGACGAGATGAAGACATGGCCATTAGATGAAGGCGTCCAACGGGTCATGAACATCAGTGAAGCACTGGCGCAAAAGAGGTCTTTGTCCAGTGCCATGGTGATGAATTACTGCCAAATGATTGATCGATTTGGAACGAGCCATGAGTTGGATTGGATTTTGGAGCCGCCCTTTGGTGAGAGCCGTGGCGATGGTGGCGATGGTGGCGATGACACTGGTGACACTGGACTTCTGACTGACACGGATTTCTACATCTATCAAGTTGACTGGCCATGGTGTGCGCCCCTCAAGGATGAAGTCCTTGCCAAAGTTCGCAGGGCAGTGCGCAAGTTGCATGTGATTAGTTATTCCGCTGGGCCACGCAGGGAAGAACAAACGGCATATTTCAAATATATCGCGGATCACTGGGAGAACTTACCCGATTTTACGATTTTTGTGCACCCAGACGCTGATGAGCATCAAGGCTCCCAGTTTCTGGCGCTCCGGCGGGCCTTGAAACTGATTAAGACGCAGTCGAAATTTGCGCAGGAGGCTGGGCTCTCTGAAATCCATTTCAAAAGCTTGTTCTTTATGTTTTTTTAAAGGCGAGGGTTGCTAGCATCTGAGGCGTGGAGTTTTTTTTTTTGATCAGTTTTTGATCCATGTTTGAGTGAAGTAAATCCATGCATGGATAGCTTTCATTCGCGCGAGAGGCTTTGGGATACTATCCTTTGGCGCAGCAAATGGTGATCGAACCGATGCGTGTTTGGGGAAAGGATTTTGCCCCAATCTGGCAACGCTTTTGGCATCGGGTTTTCGGACATCCTTGGACAGACATGGGCCTTGGCCCACCTCGTTGCAAGTGGCAGAAACATGTTGGTTACTACTTGCTTGGCCATGCCGGACACACAGGACGCACACGGACAAGTCTGCCGGCCGCCAAGGCCACCTGCGCCCAACTGGACGAGGAATGCCTTGGTGTCACCTGCCTTTCGCCTTTGGAACCGGCGGAGTTGGATGAACTCGGGGAGGTGCCACTGTTTCGGGACCGATGGGGGCGCCACTCCTGCACGGCGCGGAGGGGGGCTGAGGGATTGCAAGAGTCGCCAGAAAGGGAAGTCGCTGAAGTGAGTTACATCAAGAGCTGCAGATCTGCACACAATGCAGATGCGAGTGTTGCTGCGAGTGCCACAGCAGGATCAACGTATCGAGCCGTGAACAATTCCTTTCTCTTTGGCTATGCAGCTGGAGACGAAGTGGTTCGTGGGGAACTGGAGGCCCGTAGAAGATGCGATGAACTTGGTGAGGATTGTGCTGGTTTCACCTGTGAAAGCTTCATTCCATTGACCAAGTCCACCACAAAGCAGGGCTATGCAGACGCTCAGAAAGCTCAAAGCTGCACAGTTCGTGCTGGATCTGAGCTGATTCAGAGCCCCAGCAGTGAGTTCACATTCGTCAAAATTCCTCCCAGTGCAGATCTGCAAAAATCAGTGTCCCGGGTCACTTCCAAAACCAACGCCAGCCGCGTTTTTCAATTCTACACTGGCTCCCAGTCCATTGTGCGGAAGGACTTCAGAAAGGGTCTATCATCAAACGGCATAACTCCGTTTTAACATCCCATGTCACACCACGCCAGCATTTTCTGAGGTCCTTATTCTGGGCTCAATGTTTTTTGACCTCCAAGACCTCATTTTTCGACCCACACCCTGTTGGTTTGACCCCTTACCAGCGACGAGAGTGCCTCCTTAAGAGTTACCGCGAAGACATCCATAGACTGGGTCCCGCAAGATCCCGCAAGACAATCTCATCTATAAATATATTTATGATCCATGTATATATATATATATAATATGTATGTTGATAATTGCACCCTGAAAAGGCGATTGATTCCCATTCGTCAACAGCAAAAAACAGGTCGCAGGTCAGAAAAGCAGCATGAGGGGTCCTGAGGGGTCCTGAGGGGCCCATTTGTTTTTGTCTTTGTTTCAGGATCGTTTGCAATGGTGGCCCCTAGAAGAAATCGAGAACTTCGCAGCTGATGGAGTGTGGTGCTCTAGTACTACGGGCCTTTTTGAGGCGTGGATGCTGAAAGGGGTAATGGACATCTGGCACTTGTCAGGTGATGCGGCACATGAATCCGGACATATGGTCGAGCAGCAGATACCTTCAATGATAAGATTGCGCAATGGACTCATATATGGCTATGGGTGAATACCTATTAATACCATTTTTAGGGGAATGAACATCCATTTACCAGCTATTTTGATGTTCACCAGGGGTACGAGGTTTTGACCCATCCCCATATATTTAGTTTGATGTCTACCCAAAAAGATCTCCAGTCGGGTTGCGAAAAAAAAAACCACCCAGTTTCAATGGATCAAGTCAAGGGAGACGAATGTCAGCAGCGCCTGGTTCTGTTTGGAGATCCCACAAGGCCATCCCAAATTGATCGGTCTTTTGATGGCTCAGTCAATGGATTGGTTTCTTGGGGAAAATCGAAAAACCGGAAACCAGAGTGATTTTCCCATGATTTTCTCATGGGGCTTAAACCGGTTTCATTTTTCCCCAACAAACCAATCCATTGACTCAGGAAATCTCAGGAAACGTGTCCTCAGGCTGTGTGGCACCGGATGTTTGGCGAGCCTCTGTCGCAGCACGCCAGAGAATCTGATCCGGCATTGTCCATTTGCTGCAGGTTTTGGCAGGTTTTGGCTGGTTTTAGTACAACAAAGGTTGACATTGGACATAGCACCTGCTGAATTTTGTGTGGGCTTTCACTACTGTTTCCAACACAACATCAAATACATTAATACATTGTCTTTACCTTGAGAAGGTTGGGAGGTTCAAAACGCACGTGTTTTGTGAAGTTCCATCGATGTTGAGGCCGCTGTATCTCAAGTGGGAGATTCCCACCTTCTTCTCTTATGGTGACGAGGAAGTTATTTGAATGCCCCTATCTTCACAGATCTCCAGCAGACGCCAGGTGTGGAGCCAAATGTTCCAAAAGTTGCAGCTGCGTGATGCATTTGGGCATTTGCTTGGTAAATATTCAATAGGGATTCACAAGATTATTGACATATACTGGGTATTCCAATTCTTACCCCCGAAATCTCAAGCCCACTTCAATGGTTTTCTCATTTTCGATTTGTCAGGTGCCATTCTGTGCCATTCTGGTGAGAGATTTTCTCGGACAAGAAAACAAGGAGGGCGGTCCCTGACAGCCACGACCTGACACGACCTGATACGACCTGACACGAGCTGACAGATGCGCAACACATAGTGCAACATCCTGGGGGAAAGGCGGAGATGATGCGAAGAGCCGTTGGTGGAGCACCGGAACCATGCGGAGCAGAGTGGCTTCCAAAGACAACCGTGGACCATCGCGGATCCGCGCACCGCAGCGGCCAAGAGGAGGATAAATTCGTGAAGCCTTGAGTACTGCGAAAGATGTACAATGAGATTTCAAATACATGTTTGATGATGTTTGTAGTCCCGTGTGCTGAGTTTTTTTGGGTCGACATACTCAATGGATGCAACTTGTGCAAGGTGGCAGTTTATGGGCTCAAGGTGGAGTGGGGTCACCATATGCCAAGGCAAAAAACTCGTTCAGACCAGCAAGCATCAGAACTGGGACCATCAACACACAGCTGGGAGATTTGATAAAAACCAGCGCTCGTCTTTTCTTAGGCCGTCGGCGGTCACGGGTGTTGCCCGCTGGGTGTCGTTTCGTTGCCCTCGCGATGAAACGAAAGCACGATGAATCCGTAGACCTCAACGAGCTCAACGAGCTCCGGCGCCGCGCTGGAGAGCTGGTGGCTCGAGCTGGCTTGGAGAATGGTGGGGTGAAGGAAGGGCTTTTGGCCGACAAAAAAGGATGTTTGTGGCTTGAATCAACTAAGATATTGAAGATTTCGTGGCGCCATTTTTGAAGATTTGATTTCGAGGGAAGTTGGGATAAGTTGAAGTGGTATGAGAAAGAGAATGAACCGTGTGTTAGAATCTTGGTGTGTATTGAAAAAGCCCAGGGTACACTCCAACACCTTCAACAGCGATTTGCAGCTTGTTGCATGTGAAAATGAGGAAGCATCCGTAAATTCCACAAGTAGTGCCCATCAGCGAACGTTGCAACGGGTCTCGTTCATCCAGCAAAGTTCAGCTAAGCAGTTCTTATGGTAACCATCTTTCTGTTGACAGTCATGTAATTTTTCGTCCAGTCAGTAAGAATCCGACCCTCGACTCAGCCTACTCAGCAGGATGCTTACAAGAAGTTGATTCATGAGTTTCTGGACGCTGGAGGGCCGCCTGATGATCTCATCGTAAAAATTGGCTGCCAGTTCTTTGGATGTCCAGTGGGGAAATCGACTCAAGGCCCCCTTCAGGAAGTTCACGTCGAGGGAGCCAAGGTCTTGGATTTTGACTACCTTGAGGAGTTTATGGTGCAATGCTTTTTAGCCTCCGGATGCCCTGAGAAAGAGGCCAGAGTCTCTGCAGGGGTGCTGATTGAGGCCGACAAGAGAGGAATTGACAGCCATGGCATTGGGCGCTTGAAGACCATCTACTTGGACCGTATTAAGAATGGCATCTTGAAGCCATATGCCCCCATTGACATCGTGAAGGAGACCGAAACCACGGCCCTGGTAGATGGAAATATGGGGATGGGCCTCTATGTCGGACCCTTCTGCATGGAACTTGCCATTGCCAAGGCTAAGAAATCGGGTCTTGGTTTCGTGGCTTGTCGGAATAGTACTCACTATGGCATCGCAGGTTACTACACTTCAATGGCCTGTGAAAAGGGCTGTGTTGGCTTTGCTGGCACCAATGCCCGGCCCTCCATTGCGCCAACCTTTGGTGTGGAGCCGTGCATGGGAACCAATCCTCTGTGTTTTGGCATTCCTTCGGATGAAGCTTTTCCCTTTGTGATTGATTGCGCTACTTCCATTTGCCAGCGGGGCAAGATCGAGAAGTATGCCAGATTGGGCATGTCGACTCCAAAGGGCATGGTGATTGACAGCAATGGAGAGGAGCGCACTGACACAGAGGGGATTCTCAAAGGAATGGTGAAAGGCGAATGTGCTTTGACTCCTTTGGGAGGCGGGAAAGGGCTGGGCCCACTGGGCCACGAGACTAAATGTGGTGTAGTAGGAGAAACTGGTGATGGAGTTCGTGAGGGGGCCTGTTGGTGTATTTGCAGAAACGCAATCACAATCTCAGACTGCTGAATTTTCGTAAAGCAAACTGCTGCTGATCTTGGTGTCCTACAAACTGATCAGATTTCCATCAGTTCTTGGTTTCTCAGAAAGAAAACAGATCCACAATAACTTCAGAATCTCCAGATATTTTTCTGTCATCAACTTTCAAAACGGTGATCCGTTTACTGATCCAGGGGTCGGAGACGAACTGGGCGGCTACAAGGGCTACTCCTGGTCCGTGGTGGTGGAGCTCCTGAGTATCGCCTTTCAAAACGGAGATTTTGGACCCCAGCTGACTGGGGTGGATGCTCAAGGCTGGGAGGTCTGGGAGGTGGTTTTTTCCACAGAGTTGGCTGTTTGGGGCTTGATTTTGCAGCCGTTTTTTAGAGTCCCAAGATTTGGTACTGCTAGGAGCTGACTAGAGAAATCTAAGCACCTGGCTCTCGCCAATGCAGGGATCGGAAAGGGCGTCACATCTAGAAACGTCGTGGGATTGGGGCAGGAAAGCCAGCACCAATGTCCTTGGGCCACTTTTTCCTGGCCATCAACGTGGAAGCGATTTGTGATTTGGAGGTGGGAGCGGAAGGAGCGGAACGGAAGGTGTTCTGGGCGGCTTAGGACAGGGGGGAACTGGTGCTGTGTCATCTGTGTCGGGTGCACCTGGTGCACCTCCAGGTCTTCAAGAAGAAAACCGGCGACTTCCTTCGATACTTGCGCAACTCCGCCAAAGATCCCAACGGCCCTGGAAGAATTTGGACCGCTGGCGAGGCTGAGAACGAGTTCCGAAAGAAGCGCATGGCTGCAGGTGGGGTGCTTCCTGTGTAGTGAAGAGTAGGGTCATGTAGGATCTGAGATTCATGTTCTAATTGCACCATAGTATACCATAGTACAGTTCTATAATATTCTAATTCTATTATATTATATATATATATACCGTTAAAATGAAAGTTAGAATGCCTCCGCGAATTCCAAATATTCCTCCCCCTCAGTTAGAATGCGGCCCGCGCACGGCAAAAAATCCTTCAGTTAGAATGCCTCCCCACCCGGGTTTTATTTTTTTTTGTTTTTGGAGAACCCTTTGCACAAATCCCTCACTTAGAATGCCTCCGCACTATGAATATCATCAGATGTTAGAATGCAGTTAGAATGTTTCCCAGTTGAAATTGCTTTCTACCAGCGTTTCAGCGATTAGAACTTCCCCCTTGAAATTGCTTTGCCAGCATTTCAGCAGTTAGAATGTTTCGCCCTTGAAATGGCTTTTTACCAGCATTTCATCAGTTAGAACGCTTCCCCCTTGAAGTTGCTTTTACACAAGCATTTCAGCAGTTAGAATGTTTCTCCCTTGAAATGGCTTTTCTACCAGCATTTCAGCAATTAGAATGCTTTTCTTGAAATTGTTTTTTACCAGTATTTCAGCAGTTAGAATGCTTCCCCCCTTGAATGGCTTTTTACCAGCATTTCGTCAGTTAGAATGCTTCCCCCTTGAGACGGCTTTTTACCAGCCTTTCAGCAGTTAGAACGCTTCCCCGTTGAAATTGCTTTTTACCAGCGTTTCAGCAGTTGGAATGCTTTCCCCTTGAAATTGCTTTTTACCAGCCTTTCAGCAATTAGAATGTTTCCCCTTCATATTGTTTTTTACACGCGCATTTCAGCAGTTAGAATGCTTCCCCCTTGAGATTGCTTTCTACCAGCATTTCTGCAGTTAGAACGCTTCCTCCTTGAGGTTGCTTTTGCCAGCATTTCAGCAGTTAGAGTGCTTCCCAGCATTTCAGCGGTTAGAATGCTTCCCCCTTGAAATGGTTTTTTTACCAGCATTTCAGCAATCATAGTTTTCTTGAGGTTGTTTTTTATCAGTATTTCAGCAGTTGGAATGCTTCCCCCCTTGAAATGGCTTTTTACCAGCATTTCATCAGTTAGAGCGCTTCCCCCTTGGAATTGCTTTTTACCAGCCTTTCAGCAGTTAGAATGCTTCCCCCCTTGAATGGCTTTTTACCAGCATTTCATCAGTTAGAATGCTTCCCCCTTGATTTTTTTTCAGCCAGCTTTTCAGCAGTTAGGGTGCTTCCCCGTTGAAATTGCTTTTACACAACCATTTCAGCAGTTGGAGTGTTTCCCAGCATTTCATCAGTTAGAACGCTTCCCCCTTGAAGTTGCTTTTACACAAGCATTTCAGCAGTTAGAATGTTTATCCCTTGAAATGGCTTTTCTACCAGCATTTCAGCAATTAGAATGCTTTTCTTGAAATTGTTTTTTACCAGTATTTCAGCAGTTAGAATGCTTCCCCCCTTGAATGGCTTTTTACCAGCATTTCGTCAGTTAGAATGCTTCCCCCTTGAGACGGCTTTTTACCAGCCTTTCAGCAGTTAGAACGCTTCCCCGTTGAAATTGCTTTTTACCAGCGTTTCAGCAGTTGGAATGCTTTCCCCTTGAAATTGCTTTTTACCAGCCTTTCAGCAATTAGAATGTTTCCCCTTCATATTGTTTTTTACACGAGCATTTCAGCAGTTAGAATGCTTCTCCCTTGAGATTGCTTTCTACCAGCATTTCTGCAGTTAGAACGTTTCCTCCTTGAGGTTGCTTTTGCCAGCATTTCAGCAGTTAGAGTGCTTCCCAGCATTTCAGCGGTTAGAATGCTTCCCCTTGAAATTGTTTTTTTACCAGCATTTCAGCAATCATAGTTTTCTTGAGGTTGTTTTTTTATCAGTATTTCAGCAGTTGGAATGCTTCCCCCCTTGAAATGGCTTTTTACCAGCATTTCATCAGTTAGAGCGCTTCCCCCTTGGAATTGCTTTTTACCAGCCTTTCAGCAGTTAGAATGCTTCCCCCCTTGAATGGCTTTTTACCAGCATTTCATCAGTTAGAATGCTTCCCCCTTGATTTTTTTTCAGCCAGCTTTTCAGCAGTTAGGGTGCTTCCCCGTTGAAATTGCTTTTACACAAGCATTTCAGCAGTTGGAGTGTTTCCCCCTTGAAATTGCTTTCTACCAGCATTTCAGCAATTAGAACGCTTCCCCCTTGAGATTGCTTTCTACCAGCATTTCAGCAATTAGAATGCTTCCCAGCATCTCAGCAGCTAGAATGCTTCCCCCCTGAAGTTGCTTTTTACACAAGCACCTCATCAGTTAGAATGCTTCCCCCTTGAAATTGTTCTTTACCAGCACTTCAGCAGTTAGAATGTTTCCCCCTTGAATTTGTTTTTTTACCAGCTTTTCAGCAGTCAGAACGCTTCCCCGTTGAAACCACCTTTTACCAGCATTTCAGCAGTTAGAATGCTTTCCCCCTTGAAACGTTTTTTACCAGCATTTCATCAGTTAGAATGCTTCCCCCTTGAAATTGTTTTTACCAGCTTTTCAGCAGTTAGAATGTTTCTCCATTGGGGTCTGTTTTTCTACCAGCATTTCAGCAATTAGAATGCTTCCCCCTTGAAATTGTTTTTTTTTTTTTTTTACCAGCCTTTCAGCAGTCTGAATGCTTCCCCCTTCAAGTTGTTTTTTACACAAACATTTCAGCAGTTGGAACGCTTCCCCCTTGAAATGGCTTTTTACCAGCATTTCATCAGTTAGAGCGCTTCCCCCTTGGAATTGCTTTTTACCAGCATTTCAGCAGTTGGAATGCCTTCCCCTTCAAGTTGTACAGATATGTGCAAAAACGCGTGTGTAAATAATATATATATATATATAATCCCGATGGGATACATAGAATACAAAATCGATAATTTCGGCCTCAAAAACATCTCCCGGAATCGGTAAAAAAACCTATACATAGAACAAAAACATCTTCCGGAATCGGAAAAAAAAGAACATATACATAGAATATTTCCGGCTATCCATTTTGATCCAGGAAAATATTTTTTTCAGGTTTTTGACAGAAGCATGGATTGCTGCAGCCGCCTGTGATTCAAACCAGTTCCGCAAAGGGACAACTGCGATTTCAGCATGGAAAGTGTGTTGCAACGCGTTTTGCTGGGGCAATCGCGGGGTGAACTATGATAAAAAAATATTTTGCAATGAAAACAAATGGAATTGGGTGGTGTTCCTCAAAAAATTGATGAATATTTTCACTGGGGACCTAAATTCTATGTAAGTAATTCTTCAAGGAATTGGGTCTCTTCCATGTATAAGGGTAAATATCATATACGTAATTCCCTTGGGCGAGTAGCAACCCTGGATGTCTGAAGTTCCTAAACTAGAACGTTTCAAAAAAAAACAGATCCCCCGAAATGAACAATTTCTTTTATATTGCATTAAAAAATGAGTTTTTCAGGCTCACCGAAGGGTACCCCCCACGACCGGTGTCGTAGAACTATGAAAAAAAATTATTTTGCAATGAAAACCAATGGAATTGGGTGGTGTTCCTCAAAAGCTGATGAGTATTTTCACTGGGAACCTATATTCTATGTATGTAGTTCTGCAAGGAATTGGGTCTCTTCCTTTTCAGGGTATATATCATATACGTAATTCCCTTTGGGGAGTAGCAACCCTGGATGTCTGAAGTTCCTAAACTACACTGACCTAAAAGTAGATGGCTCAACTCAAAAACAAATGCCCACAAGATGGCACCGCGCGGTGAGAAAGAAAACGGCGCTATTTTAGCTGGAACATAAAACGAGTTCCGCCAATTCCCAAGACAGGAGGCAAAACCACCAAGAAAGACATCAGAGTTATCCCAAGACAGGAGGCAAAACCACCAGGAAAGACATCAGAGTTATCCCAAGACAGGAGGCAAAACCACCAGGAAAGACAGCAGAGTTATCCTAAGACAGGAGGCAAAACCGCCAGGAAAGACATCAGAGTTATACCAAGACAGGAGGCAAAACCACCAGGAAAGACATCAGAGTTATCCCAAGACACGAGGCAAAACCACCAGGAAAGACATCAGAGTTATCCCAAGACAGGAGGCAAAACCACCAGGAAAGACATCAGAGTTATCCCAAGACAGGAGGCAAAACCACCAGGAAAGACATCAGAGTTATCCCAAGACAGGAGGCAAAACCACCAGGAAAGACATCAGAGTTATCCCAAGACAGGAGGCAAAACCACCAGGAAAGACATCAGAGTTATCCCAAGACAGGAGGCAAAACCACCAAAAAAGACATCAGAGTTATCCCAAGACAGGAGGCAAAACCACCAGGAAAGACATCAGAGTTATCCCAAGACAGGAGGCAAAACCACCAAAAAAGACATCAGAGTTATCCCAAGACAGGAGGCAAAACCACCAGGAAAGACATCAGAGTTATCCCAAGACAGGAGGCAAAACCACCAAAAAAGACATCAGAGTTATCCCAAGACAGGAGGCAAAACCACCAGGAAAGACATCAGAGTTATCCCAAGACAGGAGGCAAAACCACCAGGAAAGACATCAGAGTTATCCCAAGACAGGAGGCAAAACCACCAGGAAAGACATCAGAGTTATCCCAAGACAGGAGGCAAACCCACCAGGAGGCAAAACCACCAGGAAAGACATCAGAGTTATCCCAAGACAGGAGGCAAAACCACCAAAAAAGACATCAGAGTTATCCCAAGACAGGAGGCAAACCACCAGGAAAGACATCAGAGTTATCCCAAGACAGGAGGCAAAACCATCAAAAAAGACATCAGAGTTATCCCAAGACAGGAGGCAAAACCACCAGGAAAGACATCAGAGTTATCCCAAGATAGGAGGCAAAACCACCAGGAAAGACATCAGAGTTATCCCAAGACAGGAGGCAAAACCACCAGGAAAGACATCAGAGTTATCCCAAGACAGGAGGCAAAACCACCAGGAAAGACACCAGAGTTATCCCAAGACAGGAGGCAAAACCACCAGGACTCAGGCGATAGGTCCCCA